AATTTTTTGTATTTTTAGTAGAGACGGGGTTTCACCATGTTGACCAGGATGGTCTCGATCTCTTGACCTCGTGATCCACCCGCCTCGGCCTCCCAAAGTGCTGGAATTACAGGCTTGAGCCACCGCGCCCGGCCTAAACAGCCCAATTTTAAAATGTAAAAAGGATTTGAATATTTTAATAAATTTCTCCCAAGAAGGTATATAAATGGCCAATAAGCAAATGAAAAGGCATTCAACATCATTAGTCTTTAAGAAAATGCAAATCAACACCATACTCAATTAGTACTTCACACACACTAAAAAGGCAATAATTTAAAAAACAGACAATTAATAAAAGTTGGCAGGATGTGGAGAAAATGAAACCCTCATCTACTGCTAGTGGGAATGTAAAGTAATCCTGCCACTATGGAAAAGTTTGTCAGTTCCTCAAAAAGTTAAATATATAGAGTTACCATATGATTTAAGGAGATAAATATCTAGGGGGATTTAAAATACATGTTCACACAAAAATTTGCGCATGGATATTTATAGCAGCATTATTGATAATGACCACAAAGTATAAATAACCCATATGCCCATCAACTGATGATTTTATAAGAGAAAGCCTCACAAATTTTGTTTTTCCTACTTCATCTGAGGTCCTTGGACTCCCACAGATGTTATAAATGAGCCAGGATTTAATCTCTCAAAATTATATGCAATATGTATATGCATTTTTGCTCTTCTCTCATAAGAGGGTTCCTAGCTTTCATAATACTCTCAAATGGGTCTAAAACTCACAAAAAATTAAACAATACTGGTATTATGCAAGCATCACTTCAATAGTTTTAAAAAACACAACTGGTTAAATTTAGCAGAATCCAGTACTCTGAAATCTAAAACATGTATCATGACATAAAGTTTGATTCAAACCAGCTAATAAATTGTTTAATTTGTAGAAGCATAAACAAATATTTTTAAAACTACTCTAATTCATCATCCATTGCTTACTTGAATGGCTAATGTTTCTTGCTGCTGATGGGCTTCTTCTTGGGCCTTCTCTAATGCTGCAGAAAGTTCTTCTTTAGCTTTCATTTCACGGCTCAGAGCAGCTTCCTGTGCCTCACTATCCTTTGCAGCATTGGCTTTGTGAAGATCAGTAAGTTCTCTTAAAAAATTAGATTGGGTTTATAAATGTTGCCAGTGATCAGATAATAAAAAAAGTATTTCTTCAACATCCTACTCTGATAATTCATTCTAAATGGGTGGCATATTTGCTCATTTTCTTACTTGTATGCACTATCCAGGGCAGCCTGAATACTTCGGTTCTTTTCTTCCAGTTCATCCATGTCTACTTGAAGTCGACCAAGATCTTTCTCCTGGCGTTCTACCACAGAATTTAGTTTTTTAATATTTTCTCTATGTTGTTTCTCAACCTCTTCTTTGCCATCGAGGACCTAAATGTTATAAAAACAGACAAAAGTATTTTTCAAGAAATAACACCATGGTAAATAATTGTATTCCAGGAATTTATAATAATGGAGAAAAATCTTTTTTTTTTTTTTTTGAGACAGTCTCACTCTGTTGCCCAGTGGGGAGTGTTCTGGCTCACTGCAACCTCTGCCTCCCAGGTTCAGGCAATTTTCGTGCCTCAGCCTCCCAAGTAGCTGGGACTACAGGTGTGCACCACCATGCCAAGCTAATTTTTGTATTAGGTTGGTTCAATATTTTTAGTAGAGATAGGATTTCACCTTGTTGGCCAGGCTGGTCTCAAACTCCTGGCCTCAAGTTATCTGCCTGTCTCAGCCTCCCAAAGTGTTGGCATTACAGGTATGCATCACCCCACCCAGCTGAAAAATCTTAACATTTATTTATTGGTTGAAAAATTCTTCCTACATGTTACTACCCCATTAAATCTTTTCAAATGCTCCATAAACCATGGCCAACTGTTTGACAGGAAGTAAGAACAATAGATATGTTGAGAATTATGACTGCTAGTCACCTGTTTCAAATGCTGCAACTCCTCTTCTAGCTCTTTAACTTTTTTGTTTAGCTTTGCAATCATATTTTCATTTTCCTTGTCTTTAGCTCTTAATTTCTTGATGATGTTAGAATTATGCAGCTGCTGTTTTGAAAGTTTTTCCCCTGGTGATGATAGCAAAGTATAAACTCAAAAGACAACTGTTCCCTAAAAATCTCAATAGAATGTTTTATCTAACCAGTAACATAAAATAATAGCATTTTTTAAAATCACAATTTTGTAACCCACAATGTTATAACAATTTGGACAAGAATCATCAATGAATGTTAAAATTATTGGGTAAAAGGATGTTGGGAAACTGGATATTAACACGGTCTTAAAGAATCACTTTCACATATCACCTACTAATTATAAAGAGAAAAATCTGGCAGTCAACTCCTTAACTAAACATTCAGTTTTGGCATCACCAATTGTAGTACAGCCTGACAGTACGTGCCTGCTGATGTGATGTAGTAATGTAAGTGTACAATGTCACCTAGATATTTCCTACTAGAAATATGATATTAATTCAATCATGAAGAAATTACAAATTCCTGAACATGGGGCATCCTGTGGGACAATTGCCCTGGACTCCACATAGTCCTCAATGATATTCTGAAGAAGAGAGAACTGTCCTAGATCGATGGAAAACTAAAAGGACCTAACAACCAAATGCAATCAGCAAACTTCGGATCCTGGGGCAGAACAAATGATCAAATATAAGAGACATTTTTAAGACAACTAAGATAAATATTAAAATACATGCTGGATTACACTTCTGAATTAGTGCTGATTTCTTAGGTTTGACTATGGTGTACCTGTCAAGGAAAATGTACTTCCCCTTGGGAGATGCAGACTGAAGAATTTAGGAGCAGAATGTTATAGTATTTCTAACCTCCTTTCAAATGGGTTGACAAAAAGGTAGCATAAGTGTGTGCAGAAAGATATGGAAGAGGTGTGGTAAGATGTTAACACTTGATGAATCTAGGTGATGAGGTAATCAGGTACTCATTGTAGTGTGCTTTCAAGCTCTGAGTTTTACACCTCTTCAGCTTTAAGTTTTAAACATATTTCTGGGGCATGTGGAAACAATATGTAATATACCTGTGTAAAATGTAAATACTCTGTGAATACAAAATACTCCCATGTGAAATTGCTCTATTTTCTCTGTAAAAGTGTTCATTAAACAAAAGAAGACATCAGTCCATCCTCTGAAAAAATTACTAAATTACAAAATAGTAACATTTGATATTAATATTTTAAATGACTTTTTTAAAATAAGAAAACCATGCAGTTAGCCTTCCCCTCAGTTTCTAATATTGTTAAGACAAGGTAGTTAACAATTTCAAGACATCTTGAGAAAATAATTATAACAGCTCTTTCTTCATTTTTCTATTTTAGTGCTTAGAATTGTGGGGGGAGGCCGGGCGCGGTGGCTACTTTGGGAGGCCGAGGCGGGTGGATCACAAGGTCAAGAGATCGAGACCATCCTGGTCAACATGGTGAAACCCTGTCTCTACTAAAACTACAAAAAAATTAGCTGGGCATGGTGGCGCGTGTCTGTAGTCCCAGCTACTCAGGAGGCTGAGGCAGGAGAATTGCCTGAACTCAGGAGGCGGAGGTTGCGGT